GGGGAAGGGAGAAAGGGGAAGGGAGAAAGGGGAAGGGAGAAAGGGGAAGGGAGAAAGGGGAAGGGAGGGGATGAGGACCCTGTCTCAAAAGGGAGGGAGGGAGGGAGGGGAGAGACTCTGTCTTAAAAGGAAGGAAAAGAAAGAAGGAAAGGAGAGAGAGGGGAAAAGAAAGAGGGAGGGAGGGGAGAAGAAAAACCATCAGCTCCCCTACTGTGTGGAAAAGGATGTGCAGGGGCCGGCCTGGGACCAAAACTTCACGCAAACCACCTTCAACGCTTGAACAGCCAAGAACCAGGGATTTCCGGGGTGAGGACCCAGCTCAGAAAAGTCATTCATCCAACATTGCCCAGTAGCAACTACATGACAGAGCCAGTTCCACCCCCGCGTCTCCCACCAAAGACCCACTTTTGGGGTCACCGACAAAGAGAAAGGGGGACCCAGGACCAGACTCAACTGAAGCCACCATGTATCTAGGTCCCCTTCCGCCTTCACACACTTTTGTCTCCACCCCTTAAACCCACAGATTTCAACTCAACACTGGAAATAGAAATGGGATTCCCACCTTCCCCCCCCCCCAGAGAGCAGCACTTCTCAGCCACCCCAACAGAAACATTTGCTGGCTGGGCGCGGTGGCTCACGCCTGTAACCCCAGCACTTTGGGAGGCCGAGGCAGGTGGATCACCTGAGGTCGGGAGTTCAAGATAACACTGACCAACGTGGAGAAACCCCGTCTCTACCAAAAACTACAATACTGGCCCGGTGTGGCAGCAGGTGCCTGCAATCCCAGCTCCTCTGGAGGCTGATTCAGGAGAATCGCTTGAACCTGGGAGGCGGAGGCTGCAGTGAGCTGCACTCCGGCCTGGGCAACAATTGCAAAACTCCATCTCAAAAAAAAGAAAAGAAAAAGAAAAATATTTGCCAAGCCGTCAGAGTGGACACTCACAATCCTCGGAGCCGGGTCCTGGCTGCCACACCCCGGGTTAACCCTGTGTTGCCACAGCGTGGGGCAGTGCGGGGAGTCACGGAGCCATGGGGGTGCCCAGGGGTCTTAACACAACTAATATTGATCAATTAGCAGGGAAGCATTTTGACATTTCAGAAGCCAGTACAGACATATCAATACGTTCAATGCATGAATTTGCTCCCTGGAAAAAAGCGTGCCCAAAACACTCTAGCCCCCAAAGGAACCCCAGTACATCCCGACTCGACGCGGCCCATACTCACTCCCATTCTTTCCTCCTGGCCTGGGGGGTGTTGTGGATTTTGTGGGCCTGGTGGGCCAAGATGACATCTCGGTGGTCCACCACGCCACCCCGCCGCCTCAGAGGGGGCCCCTCGAAGCAGATGCTGAGCCGGGGAGGCCGCGTGTCCTGCAGGGTGCTGGGCGGGCCCCGAGCTGCGGTCGTGCAGGGCGTCATAGTAACTGGGGCGCCAGAGCATGGAGTCGGGGACCCAGGGAGACTTCAGCATCCATGGGGCTCGCTCAGAAATCCCAGGGTCTTCCGCCTCAGCACAGTGAGGGGGAAACTAGGGGAAGAAAGAAGAGAGAGAGGGCCGGCGTGAGGGAGAGGCAGGCAGAGCTCACAGAGCGCCAGGAGAAGGAAACTCAGAAGGCAGGAGAGGCCGCCCCACCCTCCTTCCCAGAAAGTCAAAATATACCCCGACCCCAGCTGGCCGGGATTTAGTAGTTCCTTGGCAACTCAGGGCCCAGAAAGCCGGTTCTTAGGAGCTGCCCGGCAACAGCTGCGCCCCATGGAGCAAAAGACTGCGAGGCTGTGCAGCAGGCGCTCGCTCCACCGCCCAGGTGCCGGCCACAGAGGGCGGGACGCTGGGCTTCTCAGCATCGCTACCTCCCTCTCTGCAAAATGAACCACCCTGAGCCTGCTGGTTCGTTCTCCTTCAGTCCCGGGGTCCTGTGAGCTCTGGAAAGCTGAAAGGGTGAGTTCCAGAGGCAGTTTTAAATGCACGCGGGAGACCGGGCGCTGTGGCTCAGGCCTGTAATCCCAGCACTTTGGGAGGCTGAAGAGGGCGCATCACCTGAGGTCAGGAGTTCGAGACCAGCCTGGCCAACATGGTGAAACCTTGTCTCTACTAAAAATACAAAACTTAGCCGAGCGTGGTGGCGCACGCCTGTGATGCCTCAGCTCGGGAGGCTGAGGCAGGAGAATTGCTTGAACCCAGGAGGCAGAGGTTACAGTGAATCAAGTTTGTGCCACTGCACTCCAGCCTGGGCAACGGTGAGACTCTGTCTCTAAATAAATAAATACATGTGGGAGTAGCCACCTGTCCAGCCACGTTGCTTCTCACCAGGTTCTCTGTTTTTTTTAACTTTATTATTTTTTTTTAAGAGATGGGGTCTTGCTATATTGCCCAGGCTAGTCTGGAACTGCTACACTGTAGCGATTCTCCTGCCTTGGCCTCCCTCCCGAGTAGCTGGGAGGACAGGTGCACGCCACCACACCAGGCTTCAGCTGATTTTGGGGTTGGTTGGTTGGTTGTCTGAGATGGAATCACTCTGTCGCCCAGGCTGGAGTGCCATGGCGCGATCTCGGCTCACTGCAACCTCCGCCTTCTAGGTTCAAGCGATTCTCCTGCCTCAGTCTCCTGGGTAGCTGGCACTACAGGCATCTGCCACCACACCCAGCTAACTTTTGAATGTTTAGTAGAGATGGAGTTTCACCATGTTGGCCAGGCTGATCTCGAATTCCTGATCTCAAGTGATCTGCCTGCCTCTGCCTCCCGAAGTGCTGGGATTACAGGCATGAGCCACTGCACCCAGCCAACAGCTGGTTTTTGAAAAGAGAAAAGAGACAGACTTTCCTCCACTCACACATTTGTCAGAGGGACACTCAACACACCAAAGGACCTTGTAGCCCCAAGATATTTATCTGCAATCACTTATTCATTCAACACATCTGAACGGCCACCCAATTTGTGCCTGGCCCTGTGCTAGAGCCTGGGGACACAGCCATGAAAAAGACTGGACAATGTCCCCACCCTCATGGAGAGGACATTCTGGGAGGGAGACAGACAAGGAGCAAAATAAGTGGGTACATAATACAGAGATTAGGAGTTAAAAAGTGCTGGGAAGCGCCGAAGGACTAGGTGTGGTGGCTCATGCCTGTAATCCTAGCACTTTGGCATGCAGATTGCTTGAGCCTAGGAGTTTGAGACCAACCTGGGCAACACAGCAAGACCCCATCTCTACTAAAAATACAAAAATCAGCTGGGCAGGGTGGCGCGTGCCTCTAGTTCCAGCTACTTGGGAGGCTGAGGTGAGAGGATCACTCGAGCCTGGGACGCAGAGGCTGCAGTGAGCCAAGATTGTGCCACTGCACTCTAGCCTGGGCGATAGAGCCAGACCCTGTCTCAAAAAAAATTTTTTTTTAATTGATGAATAAAAATTGTGTGTGTATATAAATAGTTTTTTGAGACGGAGTCTCACACTGTCACCTGAGCTGAAGTGCAATGGTGTGATCTCGGCTCACTGCAACCTCCACCTCCTGGGTTCAAGCGATTCTCCTGCCTCAGCCTCCCAAGTAGCTGGGATTACAGGCACGTGCCACCATACCCGGCTAATTTTTTGTAGTCTTACTAGAGACAGGGTTTCACTATGTTAGCCAGACTGGTCTCGATCTCCTGACCTTGTGATCTGCCCGCCTCAGCCTCCCAAAATGCTGGGATTATAGGTGTGAGCCACCACGCCCAGCCTTTTTTTTTTTTTTTTTTTTTTTTTGAGACAAAGTTTCTCTCTTGTTGCCCAGGCTGGAGTGCAGTGGTGTGATCTTGGCTCATTGCAACCTCCACTTCCTGGTTTCAAGCAATTCTCCCACCTCAGCCTCCCGAGTAGCTGGGATGACAAAGTTGTATGTGTTTATGATGGCCAACATGACAATCTGGGACATGTATGCCTTGTGGAATGGCGAACTTGGGCTGATTAACATATGCATTACCTCACATGCATACTGAGGTCTTTCTGTGGCTAATCTCTTCTTAGAGGACACTAGCAATAGCCAAGAGCAGTGGCTCACACCTGTCATCCCAGCATTTTGGGAGGCTGAGGCGGGTGGATCACCTGAGGTCAGGAGTTCAAAACCAGCCTGACCAACATGGAGAAACCCTGTCTCTACTAAAAATACAAAATTAGCTGGGCATGGTGGCAGGCCCTTGTAATCTCAGCAACTTGGGAAGGTGAGGCAAGAGAATCGCTTGAACCCAGGAGGTGGAGGTTGCAGTGAGCCGAGATTGCACCATTGCACTCCAGCCTGGGCAACGAGAGTGAAACTTCGTCTCAAAAAAAAAAAAAAAAATAGAAGGACACGAGTCATATTGAATTAGTGCCCACTCATATAACCTCCTTTTAGCTTAATTACTTTTGTAAAGGCCCTGTCTCCATATGCAGCCAAATTCTGAGATACTGGAGTTTAGACTTCAACATACGAATTTGGGAAGATGCCATTCAGTCCATAACTAAGAGGGGTAAGAGGTGTAGGCTGGGCGCAGTCACTCATGCCTGTAATCCCGGCACTTTGGGAGGTCAAGGCAGGGGAATTGCTTGAGGCCAGGAATTCAGGACCAGTCTGGGCAATGTGACAAGGCCCTGTTTCTAAAAACAATTTTTTAAAAATTAGCCAGGCATGGTGGCACATGCCTGTAGTCCCAGCTACTCAGGAGGCTGAGGCAGGAGGATTGTCTGAGCCTGAGATGAGGTTGCAGTGAGCTGTGATTGCACCACTGAAGAGGAGGGGGGGG